CCCCCACCCCCGCCCCCAGGCTCCAGTAGTAATTATGTCTGTGTTTTGTTGCAACTGTCCTCAAAGACAGACACTAATTGGATCCTGTCCTGTCAGAGGTGGGGGTCGATGGATGGACGCTGCGTTCACTGACTGACTGACTGACTGACCGACTGACTGACTGTCTGACTGACTGTCTGACTGACCGACTGTCTGACTGACTGACTGTCTGACTGACCGTCTGACTGACTGACTGTCTGATTGACTGACTGACTGACTGTCTGGCTGACTGATTGACTGACTGATTGACTGACTGTCTGACTGACTGTCTGACTGTCTGACTGACTGACTGTCTGATTGACTGACTGACTGACTGACTGACCGACTGACTGACTGTCTGACTGACTGTCTGACTGTTTGACTGACTGACTGACTGACTGCCTGACTGACCGTCTGACTGACTGTCTGACTGACTGATTGACTGACTGTCTGACTGACTGGCTGACTGACTGACTGACTGACCGACTGACTGACCGACTGACTGACTGTCTGACTGACCGTCTGACTGACCGTCTGACTGACTGACTGATTGACTGACTGATTGACTGACTGATTGACTGACTGTCTGACTGACTGTCTGACTGACTGTCTGACTGACTGTCAGGCAACAGTGGAACTGCTGTCTCAGGATCAGACGTTGTCGACTGTTTCCTGTCCTGCTGTGAACTGAGGACAGTCTGACAGTCTGTCTGGATGTTCCCTCGGAAACCAGTGAAAATGTTAGTGTTAAACTAAGCTGATGAGTCTGAGAGTAAACAGCTGGGGGCGACGTTCAGGGCCGACTGTGGACGAAGGCCTTGGAGCTTTGGCGTTGGCTGAAGAAACAGTATCAAAATCACTTTAACGTCATAAAAACAATTCCTCCAATGATCTTCTCTAAATATTTGATGGTAATAATTTCCCATGAAAACACGACATGTGGTGCTTTTAATTCAGAGGCTAATTCTTAGTTATTCTTAGTTGTAACCCGAGTGTAAAAGTCCCACGTCCAGTGACAGATGACTGGGGGTAAAGTGACAAAGACAAACAGATCAGTTGATCCGTTTGTCTTTGTTAAAGAAAAGATCTCATCAACTCCAACCTGTCCTGGAGTTGACCTGGAGGGTCTGACGGAGACTCGTCACTGCTGTTACATCACCTGCTCCACCTGCTCCAGCTCTTTTGTTGTTGAGGGGGCAATTATAAAGAGTAATGCCCAGCAGTGGTGGAGCAGGAAGTTGGTTCCTGGAGTCGTATCTGCCGTGTGTCGGCGTCGCCTCTGGCTGCAGATTAACTGGGTCGTTCCACTGACCCGGCCTGGCTCGGCTCAGAGTTATTAGGTGGGAGGAGCCTGATCTGCTGTCACTCCTGCTGACGCTCCTGATGTCGGGAACAGAGACAAAAGTAGAACTGGCCAGATCACCTGTGTGTGTGTGAGGGCGTGTGTGTGTCCACGCACCGTAGTTTGACTAAAAGATGACGTTGTTGTTTTATGCAAATAACTTTCTCCAAATATTATCATCAGTGTCACATAAATAATGTTGTCGTGTCGTTGGGGTCAAAAGGTTTTCAGACTAAAACATCTCCAGGTCTGTGTGTCTCCAACACCTTCATCTTTGTCAGGTGTTGATTTGATTCACTTTGATTTGATCAGATTTTCAGATTTTTTTTTTTTACCCTCAAAAACGAAGCATTTTAAGCAAACGAACGAATGTCCAATTTTGATGATACAGTAATGGAAACCAATTACAATTCTTAATTTGACCCCAGTGAATTTTTCTTTTCCTGAAAAAAAAAACAACTGAAAGAACTTTTTTAAGAACTTGATTTCACAGGTTTCCGACCTGGTTGTCAAATACAGAGAAGGAATTCTGCCAAAATGGTTCTCTGTTTGGAACTTTTTGACCGAGGAACCTTTGGCTTTTTAGGTTCCTCTGTTTTTTTCATGCTTGGCTTAAATCAGTAAAGTGGAATGAACTGTAAAATTGATGCCTTGAAGAAGGTCAGTGATGGACAGGTGGACAGATACGGTCAGGTCTGCATGGAAAAATGATGTTTGCAGATGACGTGACGTTTAATATACTGAGTCCAGAAATCAAGTTTAGAAGAAAACAGAGAGATGGTCTGTCAGTCAGCTGTCAATCAGCTGTCAATCAGCTGTCAGTCAGCTGTCAATCACACTTCATCCTCATCACTGTTTTTATTTTTCTCTCTCAGACAAGTTCAACACTTACGTGACGTTGAAGGTGCAAAATGTCAAAAGCACCACCATCACCGTACGAGGAGACCAGCCCTGCTGGGAACAGGACTTCATGTTGTAAGTTCTTTATTTTTTTTCAATTATTATTGTTATTTCTCAAAACCTGTTCCTGCAAGAGCACAATTCATGTTGTAAGTTCTTTATTTTTTTTCAATTATTATTGTTATTTCTCAAAACCTGTTCCTGCAAGAGCACAAACCAACGCTAACGTTAGCTAAAACAGTCCCTTTACAGACAAACTCGTAGTTATTTAATATAATAAAAAAAAGGTTTTAGCACCATCTTAGCACCTAGCGTAGCCTGTTTTGAAACAAGTTTCCTACCCACAATTCACTGCTTTGATTTGCTGGTCCCACCTCTCCCGTTGAAAGGTATCCATGGCGACGACAGCAGTGTCCCGTTGTTGTCCTGTGTGTCATTGTTTGTCTTTTGTAAACTGCCTCCTCTCCCTGTTTGTTTTTCCAGACCTTCATCTCTTTGCTCTCCCATAATAAAGGTGTCGACCTGCTTTAATTCAATGCCACACGCACGGCTATCGTTTAGCTAACGCTTCGTCGGCGCCACCTGTCACTGGAACATTTGTTAATGAGAAGGTTAATGAGAAGGTGACGCAGCTGAAAACGGCATAAAAAAAACTAAATGTTAATGTTAATAAAATAGTTAATGAAGTGACTTAATCTTAGAAACAGCGCCCTCTTGTTGTACTTCATGACTTTTAAAGAGTATCATTCATAAAATACATGTATAACAGACCAAGGATTTGTGATTAATTTGTGATTAATCGTGAGTTAACTATGAACAGTCTGTAGGTAAATATATTTAAATTTTAAGGCTGATGAAAAATCATGATTTTTCATCACCGTGATTTATCGTATTTATTTAAGAAGAAAAAAAAATCTTACTACTTAAATGACAAATTAAGGCTGATGAAAAATCATGATTTTTCACCACTGTGATTTATTATAATTATTTAAGAAGAAGAAAAAAACAACATTCCTACTTTAATGACTGTTCAGTGACGTCTGAAACAGAAGTCGAACCCTGTGTTTAAATCAACGGTAGTTTAATTCAGTTACAGTTTGATCCCTGGATTAATTCAACAATGTTTTTAACCTTTTTTAACGTGAGCGTAGAATCTGAAGAGCCTTTATCTCAGCACCTGGACTCCCCCCCCCATCCTCCCCTCCACTCTCCCCCCTTATTATCTGCCCTCTTTGATTATCTCTTCTCTCATCTTCCTTTTGTCCGTCTCCCGTCGGTCCTTAAACGTCCACAGAGGAGAGTATGTAAATGTCCCGGCCGCCGCTGCCTCTCCATGTCTGTTATCGACACACTCCTGGTTTTGTTTTGTTTTTTTTCAGCCTTTTGAACGAGACGATGAATTGTAAAACAACACTGAGATGAATTATCACAGCGACAAAAACACGACAAAAAAGGAAGTCGTCTTTGTGCAGTGTTTTTTTTTTTTAACTTCTCCGAAATAGACTGAATAGAAATGGGACGTTTTCATTCAGAAAATGAATTATAAACAAGTTGATTTATGAAAGAAGAGGTGGTTATTTTTTACTGCCTGACGTCTTTTATCATTTTCCTCTCTCCTCAGTGAGATCAACCGACTGGATCTGGGCCTCATTGTTGAGGTTTGGAACAAGGGTCTGATCTGGGACACCATGGTGGGCACCTCCTGGATTCCTCTCAAAAGTATCCGCCAATCAGAGGAGGTCTGGATAAACACCTACACCAATGACACAAACAAGTCAAAACTGAGGGAAAAGTGAAGAAATTCTTAAAAAAGAATTTTATTAATGAAAATATCAAAGCTGTTCCTTTTCATCTCCTCCTTGTTTGAGTCTGAACTCTTCAGCGGTGACGTTTCCGTCAGAGATTCTGGACGACGTTTCTTCCTTTAACGACCTTTTAATCAAAGTTTTCACTCTGGAACCAACGTACCCAGTATAACAGCATGTGTTGGTCCAGTTTATTTAGTCAAAGTTTGTTGTTTTTCCAGGAGGGCTCAGGGGAGTGGCTCTTCCTGGATGCCGAGGTCCTGATGAAGGCAGATGAGATTTACGGCACCAGGACCCCGACCCCTCATCGAGTCCTGCTGGACACTCGCTTCGAGTTGCCCTTTGGTGAGGAATGTTCAACAATCACAGAAATGATTGTCTTAAAGTTGGTCAAAGACGAGGAAATGATTGTCTTAAAGTTGGTCAAAGAAGAGCCTCACACTGGGGTAACTAAGAGTTACTTCAGAGGCTCACACTGGGGCAACTAAGAGTTATTTCAGAGAAGATCTCCACCTCCAGGGGCAGCTTTTTTTTTTGGGGTGGTTTTGTTTGAGGGGGACATGCAAAATTATCAACTTCATTTTCCTTTTTTCATTTTACTAGAATTTACCTTAAACTTTCCCTGAAAGAAACGTTGCCAAAAAGACAGTAATTTTCTATATTTATTTGAGATTATCTTTAAAAATATTCCGACAAAACTGGTTCTTCAAAATACTGGAATTTGATAACATCATTCCTGGATCTGGTTCTTCAGACGTGTGTCTTAAAGTCTGGTACCACTGAGGGTCTAACTTTATTAACTCAGCTTTAATGATATCATTCTGTCCTCGCAGGTTGTTCGGTGGGAGCCAATAGGATTAAAGGGCCATTAGGAAGGCTTTTAAATATACAGTCAGAGAACTGAGAAATGTGAACTCTAAAACTAGGTCATATGAACCAGGAGCAGATGTTTACTGTCATTTTACAGGTTTTATTTCAGTGCTGTTTTGGTTCAAAATGTGGTTTTGTGGACGAATAGTAGCATTAGTTTGTTTGGTCCCAACAGTGTTTTATTTTATTTTATTTATTTTATGTATATATACCTTCATGTTACTCAACATATCTTGTGTCTTCTTCAACTGGCAATCAAACATGAGTTCATTACTGCCACCTACTGGGCTGAAGTATGAAAAATGAAATGGTGAAAAAACTAAGAGGTGAAAAAATGATCCACAAAGTGACAAATTTAAGAGATAAACCAAAATAAATCTCACCAAAGTTACCAGTTTCCCATAGAAATTCAAAAGGTCAAACGATCACCTGACGATGTGTCAGTGACGATGTGTCAGTGACGTGAACAGTGTCACCACGGTGTGGCCTTCCTGCTGTAGACGGTCAGTCAGAACTACAGTCACGGCTCAGATCAAAAGGTGGAGTCTGACCTCGTCCCGGTCTCCTCTGAGGTGGACCTTTCAAGGTGGCAGGAGGCGGTCGTGACTCTGTGTCTCCAGCAGAGGTGCTCATCATAGCTGTGGCTCAGCGGTTTGTCTTTGAACCTCCGCTCTTCACCGGTGTGTCCTTTAATGTGCACACGTCAGATGTTCTGCACAAATCCCACTTGATGTGAGGGGTTTGAACACCGGACCAGTGATCTGAGCTACTGTAGTACTAGTACTGTAGTACTGTAGTACTAGTACTGTAGTACTGTAGTACAGAGGGTTCTGAAGTCGGACCAGACCACAGGGTTCTTTTTACGTCAAACATCTGACTCCCTCTGCTCCTCTGTCTCAGCGTGTCTACATTTTCATTCCATCACAGACTCATGAGAAATTAACGAGACACGAATGTAATGATGTCACTCAGGGAGTCCCGCGGCGCGGCGTGTAAACGTCACACACTGGCTGACGTGAATCTTTTTGTGGTGACAGACATCCCAGAGGACGAGGCGCAGTACTGGACGGGGAAGCTGGAGCACATCAACACCATGAGGATCCACGATGAGGTACGGACCAGGCGTACCTGTGTTTTCACACACACACACACACACACACGAGTGGTTTAGGTTGAACACACACACACACACACACAAGTGGTTTAGGTTGAGTTTAACATTCAGAAATCACAGGCATTAATTATGATTGTGCTCAATCATGATTATTGTACTGCTACTCTGTGATTAATGAGAGTAGAAAAAAAGTTGTTTAAAAAAAACCCAGGAAAATCTAATAAATGTGTGATTGAGTGAGTGCGCCATCTGGTGGTACCAAGTTTGGCCGTTTTTAATCAGAATCAACAGTTACTGCTAAAACAGTTTTATATTCAAATTTAGCAGGAGAGTTGGTATTCCCTAAAGATGTGCTAACAGAAGAGAGATTAAAAAAAAAGATTCAAAATAGCTGAGCCTAAAATGAGCTTTAGCTGCAGCCGCTGTTGTAAATATAACCTGTAATCCACTCCTGGTCTTTGTGAAGTGAGGTTGTGTTTTTATGTCTCCTCTTTCTAGTACTCTCTTCAGGATGATGTCCAGAGTCGCCCCCTACCGTTCGCTCCCTCCCAGTGCTGTGAGTATTTCCGCCAGTACTCGTCTCTGCCTCTAGGTGCCAAAGGTCATTTCTGTTTCCTGAAAACAACTTTCAGCCTTTTTGTTGTTGTCGTTCTGCTTCTTTTCGTCATCGTCATTTTAACATCTGCACTTTCACCAGGCAACTATTTTGGATGGGCCGATCCACTGAGTATGTAAAACACACTTTGATGACGCTCTCCCTCCAGGTTGATCCTCAGTATCCTCTCTGCATGTCCTGTTCCCACAATGCACTCCCACCCCGACCCCCTCACCCCCCCCAAAAAAATATTTAATCATTTCCTTCCTCTTGCATTTTATTCTCTTTTTGCCCCTTGTTGTTGTTGTTGTTGTCGTTGTTGTTGTTGTTGTTGTTTTACATGTCATGATCTCGTTCCTGCTTTTTCCTCTGTTTTTTCGCTCTTGGCTGACGTCATGTTTATGACCAAAGGTTTTGGACTTTGTTCACTCCCTGTCTTTTTTTCCCCCCAAATTTAGTGTTAATTAAGCTCTAATTTTGACAGTAAGTATTAGGAGACACATACTGTCTCTTGCAGGTATATTTTTAAACCTGTAGGTGGCAGTGTAAGACAATCCTCTACATCTATATATATTGAACTGTACTCTGTTTATCCTTTGTTTAAATCTAAGGTTTGGATGAAAAGTTGTTGTGATCACATTGTTGAATTCTGTACCTAAAAGATAAGAAGCTAAAGAATGTAGATTAAGAAAACTGAATCAAGCTAAAACTAGCCTTAATTTTTTTATTTTTTTCAAAAATCATTTAAATTAGTTGAATCAAGCTAAAACTAGCCTTAATTTCTTTTTCAAAAATTATTAAAATTAGCTGGTGTCAAATGTTGCTAAAACTTTGCCAAAATGAATATAAATGTAATGTAAAATCATAGTCAAAATATGTTAAAAACTCAAAGTTTACCCAAAAAAAAAAAAAACCTACACAAACATTACAAACACCAAGAAATTAAACAGAAACAAGGCAATTTCCTTTCAAGTTGTTCAAACCTTTTAAACCAGCGTCTGGTTTTTCCAGGTTTGCAGCAGATTGTTCGGCTGACTGTCCCACAGAAAGACCTTCAGCTCAGGTTTTAGGAACGATAAATCCACTGCTGTTTCCCCCACAGCTCTGGACGACCAGGACAGCGCTGTGGACGACAGGGACAGCGACTACCGCAGCGAAACCAGTAACAGTCTGCCCCCGCGGTACCACACCACGGCCCAGCCCAACTCCTCCTTACACCAGTATCCTATGGGGCCACGGCTGCAGCAGCAGCAGCATCCGGACTCGTGCACCAACTCCATCCACAGCTTTGACCTGGACTACAGGGATCAGAGAGGAATCAGGTAGACAGAGAGCACGAGTGCAGCTGAAGTTTATCTTTGGAGAAAATAGAACCAGCCCTTACATTTAGATTTTTATTTGTCAGTCGATCTTTTGGCTGAAACTTAGTTGTGTTTGTAGTACTTTTCATTTTCCAGTTTTGTCCGTTTACGTATTTTTATGATTATTTGAAAATCATAAAATGATGTGAAATGTTGAAGAACAAAAGTTCAGAACAAAATCAGACAAAATGACTACGTTCCATTAACTGTTAACGTCATCACGTTTGTGTATTTTTGTTTCTTTTTTCTCACCGCTTTTTAAAGTTTAATTTTATTGACGTATGCAGTATTTGAGGCATGTTTTCTGTCTCTTCTTGTTCTGTCTTTAATTCTACTTCTTTTTTTCTTCTTAACTTGGATTTTTTTTGCATGATTATTATTTCTTTTTTCCTTTTTCCTTTTTATCCTCTCCCTTCTGCCTCGATCCTTGTTCTTAATCCATAACGTAGATCATTAAACCAGAGAGGAAGGGTCAGAATCATACCTGTAGACTCAGGCATGGGGGTGGAAGATTGGGAAAACAAATACAGACGGCACAGCAGACCTCAGCTCAGTGACTTTCTGGACGATGACGAGGACAGCGTCGTCTTTGGAAGGAGACAAACTTTCTCTGAGCGACCACAGACCTTTATCCACCAAAACACACAACGCCCCGGTTTTCCGCCTTCTTCCTATCCCGAAGGCTACGACACTATTGATCGAAGGCGAAAAAAAACTTTGAGAAACTCTGCCATCCCAACAGAGCTTGAAATGCTGCGAGGGGATCGAGGAGAGTTGTTCAAACAGCAGGTCGAGGAGATGCCGGAGGATGGAGATCACGTGATGCCCCACCTCAGGCCACATAGGAACGGTCTTCTCTACAAGACAAGGATGTGGGCTAAAACTGAGCTGGACCACACGCTGGAGAACTATGTAGCCTACAAAAAAGAACAAGACGCCAGAATGAAGGCGCGGTTCAACTTTGATCCAAAAGGTTCAGGAGATCTGGACCATCCCTTCGCTGTGGAACGGTTCAACTTTGATCCAAAAGGTTCAAGAGATCTGGAATCACCCTTCGCTGTGGAGGATTTTGAGGACGTTGACTCTGCAGAGGATTTCCATCTAACAGATGCTGTTGTACATTACAAAGACAGGAGGTGTTCTCTCTCCCATGAGGAGCGCACTGAAAATGTTCCGTGTCTTCGGGAGAAGAGGTGTGGAAAAAACAAAATTGGAGGCTGGACCCCTGAGGTTCTGCTCTCTCCTGTGGAGGAGCCCAGTGATGAATATGTAGATCCCATGGATGAACTTCAGTGTCTGGTTGAAACAGTTTCTGAATATCTGGCAGAAAAGGAGGAAGAAATTAGTAGGTATGGTTCCCTTCCTAAATCTAACAAATCCAGACTATCGTCCCTCGGCAGTAACAGAACTGATTCTTTAGGCGAGGACCAAGTTGGTTCACCAAAGGTTCCAAGAGAAACTGCAACATCACAGACGTCTTCTGATCAGGGAATCTCAGTGGTAAAACATGCAGTAAGTTCATTATTTAGTTCTCTTTCTGACAAAGTAGGAGCAGGAACCAGCTCTAAACAGACTGTACCAGGTCCTACGGCACCAGCAGAACAGTCCTCGCAGTTTGGACTGACCAAACTTTTCTCTTTTATTCCTAAATCTAATAGTTCTGTTCCTGTGGCTGTTGTTTCCCCGGTGGAATCACCTGAAAAGTCATTTAGTACTTTGTCTTCTCAGAGAGAAACAAAAGATCACGCCCAAAACCAGACACAACAAGGTAGTAAAGACCACGAAGCCCACTCAGAAAACAAATCCTGTCAAAGTACCTGTCCTGAGAGCACAGTGCTGGGGAAACTCAATCCTTTAAAACTTTTTTCAGGTGTGTTAAAAGAAAATTCATCTGTGGAAGAAAAGGCACCAGAAACGTCTTCCCAGTTCCACGAAAAATGTGTTGACCTTTGCACTGAAGACGGGGAAAGAACATTTGAGAAATCAGGGATTTCATCACAACTGGGACAAATCCAAACTGAACATAGACGAGAGGCTCAGAAATTAAAACCAGACAATGTGCCGGTTCCTGGGCCTCCGAGGTCAAACGGTGAAGCACAGTCGGCAAACACTGGGTTCTTTAGTCCTTTAAGGAAGTCCCTAAGTTCATTAATCACACCTTCTGTCTCACTCCCTCCTCAGGGAGCGCCACCTGTTGCTGTTTATCCTGTGTTTGGATCAACAGATAATCCCAATCAATACAAACCTGGTGAGAATCAATCAGTGAACAATCGGCCAACGCTGCCTTCGGCCTCCTCAGAAAATCTATCCAATCAGCAGCGTCCCAAAGCAGAGGGAGGCATTTTGTCAGGTTTTTTAAAGTTTGTGTCCAATGAGGATATTAGTGCCTCCATGAACATGGAGAATCCAGTCCAACCAAATAAGGATCCTAATCCAAAATCGTTTTCCACTCAGGGTCCGTCTGTATCCCAGGAAAACAAAGAGAAAGGTTGGCTTTCTGGATTATTTAACCCTTCAGGAAATCAGGAAATTCAACAGAGCAAAGTACCGTCCGGCTCACATTTACAACATTCGCCAAATCAGTCACCAACTACAGCTCCTGTAGGTGTGGAGACTCCATCTCCACATCAGTCTGGACTGCCAAGGTCCTTGACAGATCTGATTAAAGGAAGCTCGTCTCACGATAATCAAACAGAACGGGGAGGACTGCTTTCTGGGCTGCTTAAATTCAGTTCCAACAGTGACATATCTGCGGGTTTGCAGCGACCGGCTTCCCATGACAATCAACCCCCTGGAGGGAATAATCATCCACTGCATCTTCATCAGCCAACCCAACCACACACCTCTACTGCTCCTGAGAAAGGGGGGCTTCTATCAGGGCTATTGAGTTTTTCATCAACGGAAAATACTGGACTGTCTCAAAGCAGCGACAGCGGTCGGGCGCAGATTGTACATGAGATTCAGCAAACTCAGCCTCAGAAGAAAGGGCTGATGTCTGGATTTCTCAGATTTGCATCTGCTGACAATGTTTCAGAGAGCCGGTCCGATCAGAACCAACACAGTGGTTTGGAGCCAAATCAACAGAAGGGTATGGACAGTAAAGCTGTGATCTCTCAACAACAGACCGTTCCACCTCATCAGCCGGAGTCACAAAAAACTGGTCTTCTATCTGGCCTTTTTAAATTTGCAGCATCCGACAGTATAAATGTAGACCAGCATCAAGACCAACAGCAGCGTGGAGTCTCTCCTGAGAGACCACGCCAGGAACAAACAAAGGCAACAAATATCCCGGTGTCTGAACATCATCAACCACAAAATACATTGTTGCAAAAAGCAACACAAGCCAGTGGTTTCTCCTCTGAATTATCAAAATCCTCTCCAGAAAATATCACCCAACAACCTCTGCCAGAAAAGGTGTTTCCTCAGCAAGAGGCGAGTGAGTGTCAACCCAGCGTGATCTCAGGCTTATTCAACAAGTTGAAGAAAACGACTGATAACGCTGAAAAAACCAGCCCCAAAACTACTTCGTTAACCCATCATTCTCCCCTCACAACAAACACCCAAGTCCAAATGCACCCGAATATCGATGCAACGTCGGAGTCTTTAGAAGAACAAAATAAGAAGACATCGCAGACAAACCAACACAGGTTTTTATCAGGGTTATTCAGCAGAAATGTAACCGAGGACTCATTTACTAATAGACGAGCCGAACCCTCAGAGCAAAAAATAAGAACGGATTTTTCTGCAACCAGGACTAGTGGCGTTCTGCAAAGAAACTCCGCGGACTCGGGCGAGGACGTTTGTCAAAGAGTTGTTTCAACACTATCTAATCTGAATCAGAACAAACAAGTTTATGTCAGTGCACCTGTCTTAGCAGATACTGAGAGTTTGGACCTGAGGACGTCAGCTACTGTGGCCAGGTCCTTTCAGGGTCACTCACTATATTCTTCAATTAGCACAGGTAATTTATCAGGGTCATATTTATCTGGCTCACTTCAGTCAACCCCCCCGATGGCTTACAGCTCAGGAAACATTCATTCCTTTTTACAAAACCAGGCAACTTTATCCATCAAGAGCAACCAGTCACCTATAGGTGGAATTGCTCCATCTCCAAGAGCAACCAGTCACCTATCGGTGGAGGCGCTCCAGCTTCATGTGGAGATACAAGACATCGGGCTAAGTTGTCCCCTTATAGAACTCCTTCTGATGATGAAAACCATTGGATCCGTGAAAGTGCTCTATGGCAGCAATTTCAAAATGAGTCAGTGATTCATCAGCTTGAAGGACAAAATCAAAGGCGTGATGTGAGCTGGGAGAGTGCACCATTACAGAGACCAGAGAGTTATTCAAATATCACTGCACTGAACAACAGCTCTGGATCATCGCAAGGATTTGTTAGCTACCAAGATTATTTTGACATGAATGGTACAAGTGAACATATTAACCACAGAGAAAAGTTATGGAACAGTTATGTAGACTTGCCAAATGCAGGACATGAAGCTAACGAGGAAGGTGCGCTGAACTTGAGCACTAAAACACAGGTAACTGGAAGTTCATTTACTCCTGGGAGCTCTTACAGTCTGAATGGGGTTTTGTATTATGAGGGTTTTTACGAAGAGGCTCCACCGAGTTTATCTTACGCAGCAAACTGGCAACAAAAAACTGATAATGGAGCATTTCAAAACTTTCATGCCAATGGCATTAATAATCCAAGTCCACTGAACTTTGACAGACAAGTACACGATTTGGAGAAGGAAGACTCCTGGTATCTGGAAGATACTGAATGGTACCAGCAGTGGCTGGGACTTTTGGAGCAGGGGATGTGGTGGCCAGCAGAAGATGGAGACTGTGGATACTTTGTGTACACAGATCATGAATACATATATGCTTTACTTACAGATGCAACAGGTGAATATGTATACACGTGTGCCCCCGAAGGTGAATCTTTTGGAAATGCAGAA